TTCCTACATAAGTGTAAATTTGATGTCTTGGAATGGTTTTAATCCATGTTTTTAATTTTTTTTAATAAGTTTTTAGAATTTATATTTTTGAGTTCGTTTGGGATTAAGTTATAGAATTTTGGGCCACGATAATAATTTCGTTGTAATGTATTTTTGTGAGGTAAAGGTATATAATTTAATTGATTTTTGTTATAAATATGATCAATACTTGTTAACTCCTTTTTTTAATATGTTTAATATGTCTAATTAATGTTTTTTGAGAAAAAATTTGCCTAACATCTTACAGATTTACTTGTTCATATAGGAGTTCAGTGGGAAATAATCGAAGTCTTTTGAACAAGATTTTGATAATATATCTTTGTGTCGTCTCTAGGATGGTTAAATGTGATTCTGTGCAGCTCCCCAAGCAACGCGGCTACTAATTTTGAAGAAGCTGTTCGCACCTTAAACAGTGAGCCAAGTATTCTGTATGATTGGTTGTATATCAACAAATTAAAACTAAATGCAAATAAAACCAAGTTTATGGCAATGGGATCTAAATCGACCTGTAACAATTTTGCGGAGCGAAATTTTATCATCTGTATAAACAATATTGCCATCGAACAAGTATATACGATTAAATACCTAGGAGTTATTTTAGATCCACAATTGACTTTCAATAGTCATGCAGACTACTTATGTAGGAAATTAGGGAAGAAAATAGGGTTCTTTAGAAGAATAGCTTCAAATTTGTCTCAATGGAGTAGAAATCTTGTTTATAACACAATTGTATATCCACATTTTAACTTTTGTATGTCACTTTTACTCTTATGTAATAATGTAATAAAGAACAAGTAAGCAGACTTCAGGTACTCCAAAACAAATGTATGAGAGTTGTTCTAAAATGTAATATTTACACTCCAATCAAAAATATGCTACAAACCCTAAATTGGCTTTCTATTGAACAGAATATTAAAAAGGCAATCCTCATTGTAATCTATAAAATGATGCATCAATTAACACCGAAATATCTAAGTGAGTTACTAGTTACGCGGCAACACTTACATTCTCGACATTTAAGATCCGATGAAAATTTCAACATAAATTTTTCAAATAAAACTTTCTTAATGGGATCGTTGCTAATTAATGGAATACATCTTTTTAATAATCTGCCGAAAGAAATAAAAGACTCTAGCAATTTGAATTTGTTTAACAAAAAATTATGTAAATATCTTAGACAATCAAATTAAACAATTGTGTATATTATGTAAGATAAAAAAAAAATATGTAAATTAAAAAAAATAATTGTATATAATAGCAATGGCTAAATAAACGGATTCATTCATTCATTCATTCAACAATGGATTATGACTAGGGCATGATAGAGGATTCGCATGTACTTTTTGTCATATAGCATGGTAATATGTTTTAACTTATATGCCACAAATCGAAGTTTTTTCGCTAAAAAATGTATATGGGTATTCCATTCCAAGATGAGCATCAATATAAATGCCGAGGTATTTTATATTTAGTGTCCGAGTTACAGAGATCTTCTTCAACAATTACTTTTAATTCATTCCAGCTATCTGATGAGTAGACATATTTTCCAAGATTCCGTTCTGACAATCCGCTTGTAAATGCACTAATGTTGAGTGTTTAGACCAAAAAAAGTTACAACCTTAAAAGAAGAGAAGAATAACATAACCTACAAATTTTTTGATCACGCTTCAGCATCCTTCCTCCATGCGCTTCAGCTTGTAATGGGTAAGGTAAATAAATTAATAAAAAATCAATTGCATCGTGTGTTCTATATAAAATTTAACAAATTTTACTTTATTTGTCGTTTTTAGAATCTACAAGTGATGTTAGAACACAGGATATCCCAAGTATTAATTGCCAGGGTGCATTTATTAATATGGTTAATACTAATGGCGAATTTAAACTAAAATAAAGTGTTACCAGAATTACATACACAGTTTCTCTGAAAAGAATCCTGGAAGGCCAGAAATTGACCTGGAAGATCTAGAAAATTAGCTAAAGGAGGACGAAAACTACAAAATGTTGGTAAGAAATTAACAAAAATATATTTAAAATTTCACTTAACATAATTATCATTTACGCAATTCTTGTTTTTGTTATTAGAATGCCATGTTTAATATTTTAGTTTCGACAAAAATATTTAATTTATTCCATTAGTTATGTATACTTAATTTGTTGTTGTTGATTTATTATTTTTTAAGTTTAATGAAGATCCAATGGAGGCAAAAAAATAAAACTAAATCAGACGATAAAATAAACTATTGGTTGATTAAGGCTAAAGAAAGATTTTTTAATAAAAATATGAATAAGTATGAATTTTTGGAACTAAAGATTTAAAAAATGATTACGACTTTCATTATATAAACTCATGGTATAAAAAATAAAAGGTAGGATATCAACAGTATCAAAAATAGGACGGCCACGCGCATAACGTCACGCGTAGAGTTTGTATAGGCGCGAATTTAAAAATACTGACGAAGTGTGAGGAAAATATATGTTACTTACAGAAATTTGATGTATATTAAGGATAATATTTTAGAAATTACATGAAATATAGTTAAGGAAAGAACTATGAAGGAACATAAATGAAAATACATACATAAAAGTTATATTTTTTTGAACAGTTTTTTCCTTTTTTATTTAATGATTTATTTTGGTTATACAAATTTGACTTCTAAAGGATAGTTTTTATTACCAGGATAATGAAATAAAGGGTATCTTCACAACTCGAAACTGGGGATCCTGGTAACAATTTCGAATATGGGTATGCCGGAAATTTTTACCCGATTAGGATTTGCAACTGGTTACTCATTTACCTGCATTATATTACCCAATTGAATAAAATATTTTGTTTATATATATTATAATGCAGACAGTCATATAATATAATACAAAACATAAAAAAATGCACCAAATACAAATAACTGCTACATAAAATATGGTAGGTACATATACAAAATTAAAATAAAATGTCCCTGCAATTTTCCTGGATCTAGTCACTGGCAGTTTTTTAATTCATTCATCAAGTACAAGTCGAAATTTTCTTTTTTTTTGTGATTTTATAATTTCACTTTTGCTTATATTGCGAAATTTTTATCCTTCAAAGGGTAGAGTCTCCAGTTTAGAAATCACACTGGTTTATTTACAATTACACATTATGTGAAGTTCTGATTTGAGGTCCCTAATTGGAAGGTTGAAAATGCTTGGTGTACATATGAAAATTTATCTGCAGAATCACAAGCCACTGCAAAGGCTGCGTCATGTGGAATTTTCTTGGGAAGGAGGGTAGAATTGCCTATTTAGCATATTTGTTTTAATAAAAGGCTCATAGATTTTAAGAATTTTAGTCAAGGGAACGGCATGCTCCCCTGGAACGGCATGCTCCCCTGGGCCTCCACTAGAGCCGCCCTTGGACTACTCCTTACTTCTAACTAAGCTCTTACTGTGGAGGATAACGAAAAACCATAATATCTTTCTTGAATCCTTTCCTTTAATTGTTACTGTTACATCTGTACCGCAATTTTTTTCAATGTTCTTTACTAAAACCACTCACAGAGAACAAAGTTTACAACATAATATAATACAAATATTTACTAAATATCTTATAAATCACTATAAACGACTCACAAATTACTGCAACATGCGTCTGTTATGTAATATTTATTTCGAGCCAACTCTACTAACTCTACGCATGACGTCAGCGCCGCCATGACACCATGCGCGATATCCCCCCCTGATATAAACTTATTCTTTAATGTTCAATAATAATGAAATATCCTGTATTAGGGTGGCTAGTATATGCCTAGTATGTACCAAATTTAAATACTTAGCACAGTGTACTTAGCACAGTGTACCATCAAATGAAAGTAGATACTTACTATAACATACTTGAAATACATTTTCAGTTTCTTTATTGCACTTATAAACAACGTCACGTATATTCTGAGAACAGACTTAATGCAAATAAAGTTATATTCTCAGCATATGCATATTCTTAAAAAATCTGTACCTACTAAGAATGTATAATTATTATCTGGGTTTTTGCAGTTTCACTGTAAAAGAGCCTTCTCTGGATACCATTCATCAAATATCACAGAAAATAATTATGTGAACTTGTGAGGAAAAAAACATTGTTCCGTATTTTTTAAACATTTCTATTTTTATTCATTTTCTTCTAATTCACATGACAGTAACAACAAAATCGTGACAGCACATAATTTTTGTATATGTATAATTAAACCACAAGAATTTTGCGAATCTTTAAGATAGTAACCTGAATCTACTTGCTGAATTTTATTTATTAGTATTTGTTATCTTTCTCTAATTCTCTTAAAACAAAAAAAAATCTGTTCTAAATAAAACTGTCCAAATGCTCAGCATATAATTTTTAACAATTTTCTTGCAACTCCTAAATACGTATTACCAAGATACCATTTTCTTTTATTGGTAAACTATTTGCAAGGTAAAATGTGCACGTGACAACACCCCAATTTTTGACTTCTCATTATTTCTCAAGAGTTAGGATATACGAGCATTCTAAATTCATCATAAACATAAAAGAAACACTATTACTGCATTTATACATATAATTTAACTGCATTATCATATCTGGAACCACAAAGCATCACTTCATTTCAGTTTGCTTTAATAACAAGAAAATCCTAATCGAGTTTTTTTTAATTGCGACCAGTGAAAAATCGCAAGATCGTCATAGAAATTGGCGTAATTAAAGTTAAGCCTTTTCTATGGATGGAACTCCTAAAGTAATCCGAAAGACAATTCAGCCATATCTTTCAATGATTTAATTGGAATTTTAATTTAGAGATATGATTTATTAGTTCTTGAGTTTTTTGCGCATTCATTGAAATCGTTGTAAAGAAAATCGATGCTTGTGGATTTGAGATAATCAAATAAATTTGAACATGCTGGGCTATTCATATTTTTAGAAATATACTGAAATGGAATAAAAGCACACAATATCATATATTTAAAAAATAATTTATTTACTATGTACATAGAGAACTAAATTTATAATATAATTATAAGTAAACACAATGATAATAAAATCGTTACAAATGACGCAATAGATATACGGTTTTGTCCAGAAGACTCCATCGTTATTGGGTAGTCTCGTTGCATAGCTTCGGAATGTTCTGCTGAAAAAAAAAAAGAAAGGAAAACAAAATAAATAATAAATAATTTGTCATGTTTTAGTAAAAAAAATCATAATTGGATATTATTTCAATAACGCTTTTATGTAGGATTAAACTACGTTTTTATCTTCAGTACGTTTTTATTTACTGGGTCTTTTTATTAAAATTCAAAAGTAAAAAGTAAAAATATGAAAGTGTAGGAATATGTGGAAAATTTTGATTTTATTTGCCACGGTGTCTTAAAAATTAAAGCTGCGAAAACCAGGTTTTTGTAGCAATTATTTATTAAAACACAAACAACTAAATTTTAGCCATAACAAGAAAACTACAGAAGCTATAAAAAAAACAAAAAATACTAAAATTTCAACACACTCTAGATCGGTAAAGAAGCATTTGCGGACCTATTGTTTATATTACTTTTTAGTCACGAAAGTCAAACAATTTTCTCCTTCAATAAGTACTGAAACGTAAATAACGTTTACATTCAATGGTTCTACCAAAGTATTATTATAGTTTTATTATTTTAAAATAAATTATCCATATTGACTCACACTGTATTCAACAATTTTAAGTACCCCGTACCATACGACAGTATCGGTAAAAAGCCAGCGGTGATTATTTGTTTAGCTCGCTAAATTAAATTCTCGTGGGTTTAACGCAAATAAATCGATGGGATTTTGATTTCAAAGCTCTGGTTAATAACAGTGATATATATTTTGAGGAAATTTTCCAATAATCGCTGTGGGCAGATTTAATTTATTAAATACTAAATTAGTACAAGTTTTTCTGATTGAAATTATTTATTTTGTGCATTTGTACTATTTACGTCGATTGACGAATTTTTTTTGATAGCTGTTTTGAACAATTTGATGAAAACGTGTCTACAATAAGGAATTATTTTTAGAATAACTGTGTAGTGGGTTAGTACTCAATTGTTACAAAGTAAAATTTGCGTAACCCATTAATTTAAAATTATTTAAAATTTACTAATAATAAATAGAAAGTTTCTTTAATGCTAAATAAAAGTTTTCCTATTTTTTTAGACGTTTATTTGGGTACCGGTTCTGATTTCAAGAACGATAAATTATTGTTTCCAATTGCTGGTAGAACAATTGAACTGTAAAACAGAATTTTGTGATTAAAACAAAATTATAAGAGGCTTTTTATTGTGGATTTGGCTGAGAGGGAATTCAAACCTTTTAAAATAAGTACCCCGCTGTTAAAATCATTTTATTATTATTTATTTTCTATAAATAGTATTAAAGTTTAGTTATTCCACATTATTAATTGTGTAACTGGTTTTGGGATAGAGTTATTTTTGGGGTTTAGGTTTGTCTTTTTTCCCAAAATCAGCTACTCTTGCAAGAGTTTAGGGCAATCTTAATATATTTAAAAATCTTGAAGGAAAGTTAATATATATTTTTTTCGGCTTTATTGAAATTCTACCTCTTATTATTTATTTTTACCCTTACACAAGAAGTCTCACTAAAGAGAGTAAGTTAAGTAATTTAGTATTGTCTTTAAATTTTCCATCGCAGCTCTAATTACTTGGCGCCGGGTTAAATAATCATTTTCTTCAAATTTGTATATGAACCACCCCATATACTGAGCACTTATAAGTGTTATTATTTGATGCAGCAAAAGAAACGTAACAGTACCGACATATTTAAAAAAAATACGTGTTGTACTCGGGGAAGCCGCGGTAAAGCTATTGCATAGAATTTTCTTATCAACTTATGCAATTATAATTATATATTTATTTTATTTATGCAGTATTTTTTTTCTTTGATATTAATTCAAATTTTATTTTATAATAATTCAAGTTACACTTTTTGAGCGTGGTGACCGATAAGAAAACACATTTTTTTCTTTTATTTAATAAATAAGAAGTTATTATTGTTTAAAATATTTTTATTATCTTACAATACATGTAGGTCATTCAGGAATTTTTATCATTGAATTTATAGTTTTATGTTAACTGAAATAAGAAACATAAGTTTCTAAATATCTAGAAAATACCGCGTCAATGATGGTCCCATATTTTGTTGTGGATTTTTGTGTATCATTATTCATTTTCAAATTTAATTTTTCCGAAACTGTGTCTAAAAGAGATAGAATCAGTTATGAGCAGTAAGCAGCTAGTCTACACGCATGCGTCTAGTCGCACGCACACAAACACCGTGCCGAAGTCTGCCGAACTGAAACGACGTTAGACGATGCACAGTTTCCAACGGCGCACCGCTGTGCCGGTCGGAGTGGGGGGTGTTAGGGTTATTTTCGTTACTAAATTTTTTGATTCGGTCGCCGCGCTCAAAGCCCGCGATAAAAGCTATGCAATGGCTTAACACCCTGTATAGTACTGGGCCCAGAGGTACCCCAATATCAGTAGATTTCATACAAGCGATTAAAATATACAAATAAGTGTCTTAATAAATATATAATTCATGAAAACTAATCAGATTAACTTGATAAAGTATTGTTTTTTCATTAATAAGACGATAATCTTCTATTTAATGAGCCAAACACACATACGTTCCGCGTACATTATCAACATAATAATCAGGAGTAAAATTAATTAATCCCTCTTTGATATCGTTTGATAAATATCAGTTGCACTGAAAGCTTTCCAACTTTTCACTAACCTAATCATAATAAACCTATAAAACTAATTTATTTAGCAAAACTTTATCGAAAGTAATATTAGACTTGAAATTGAAGCATTTTAATAAATGGATACTATCGCATATACCAAAATAGTATTAAACTATTTTAACGAATCTCTTATTTAATTTTGATAAATAATTAAAGCAACATAGAAAGGTAAGAGAAAAATACTAGAAAATATATATTAGTAAATATAACTATTATAATTTTAAATTTAGCGACGTGAAACTGCGTAATAATAGATTTTAGAGAAAAATTTGTTGCGATAACGTATAGAAATTTAAAACGGAAAGAATCCCAACTAGCACAATGGGAATCCATACAATATTATCCTTTGGTATTGGCTTTAATATTTTTAAAATACATATTATTAATTGTAAACTATATTATATAAACTATAATCCTCTTCAAATCACAAAACGTAGGAATATTAAATATTGTGTTGTAATTTCAAATTTGTTATCTGTTATCGGCAACACAGCAAATATGTCCGTTGGGTGCATTACGGTCCTTCAAATGTCCTGTATTAAGTTTAAAATTTAAATGGAATACCACAAAAAATAATTAAGAGTAACGGTGGAAAATATATTTCAAAGAAAATAGTTTATTAGAGTAAAATCAAATAAAAAAATATATAAATCTTTAGATTAGAAGCAACGACAAAAACTACTAAACTAATGTTGTTTACAAAAACCCAATTGTAAAAATTTACGGTGTTATCCACATTGTTGTCAAATTATTATGATAGAGGACGGAGGAGTCTTGTTACAAGGATTGCCACTGCCCAACACTAATTTTATTGCCAACAATACCTGAGCGATTTCTAGATAATTTTTCGGTGCTCATTACGAATATGGAATACGAATTAAGTTGGATTGGCTCTATTTTTGGAGATATATTATAAAATAAAGAAATAAATCATTGTAAGAGACCAGTAGTCCCCATAAAGTTGCTTATGGTAGTAAAAATGACAGTGTTGTCGAAAAAGCGAAACAAAAAACAATAAAATCCATAATGATTTATTAGGTATTATAACAAAGAAATAAAATTTAATTCGTAGGAAAGAAGCTCTTTTTATACGATTTTCTTTAATAAAGATTAATAAGAACATCACGTTGGAGGCTCCAGCAATAGTCTGCCATCATATGCTTATCCCATCTGCCCTGATATTTTTCCTACATCGCCTTTATATCCTGGTAGAACTTTCCCCTTGTTCGTCATTTAGTCGCCAAGATTGTCGGGAAATTTATCCAAGTGACTATGAAAAAAGAGTACTTTAATACTCAATGTTAGTACCTAAGTTATTAAAGTTCAATAACATCTGTTGACCAGTTTTTCGAAATTGTCCGAATTGTGGTTACCTAAGAAGTTCTTAACCACCGAAGCAAAGCTACACCAAGCAACAGCTTCAAGTATCGTCATGTGATTTATAAAATTAGAGTCCTTAATAAGTTTTCGAATTAAGGGCCATCAAAAATACCCGCTTTTAGCTTTTCCATACTTAGCCTAGGAACCGATCTATATATGTATTTGAAGCACCCGCCATCTTTATTCAAAGCTTTAACAAATTGTTTTATTAATCCCAACTTGATGTAAAACGGTGGGGGAATGATTTTATCACGGTCAACCAATGGTTCGTTCATGACATTTGTAGTTCCTACAATTATATTTTATCTTATTGGTTAATTAATCCTCTTCCAATGATCTTGCTTCGCCCTACTATCCCACAAGCAGATAAAAAAAGGGTGTTTCGTTACCCACCTTGCTGCCTAAGCAAGAAGTTCACCATTTTTAGATCCACATAAATGGAAAACTGATGCTCTTCATAGGAGAGTTTCTGCAATACTAACTGAATGTTTTTATATTTTTTTTAAGTTCTGTTGAGTGGGCGATAGGAATGAAAGGATATCGGAGGCCATTGTGTAGCAAAACACACTTTAAGCTTCTACTGAAACTGTCTATGAACAGTTGTCAGTCACTTAAAACAATTCCCATTTGACGAAAAAATGTTGCAATAAACAAGATCTTCATCTTAACTGAAGTAAGAAACAAGTTTAACCTCTCGTGTTCTATAAATTGTTATTTTTATATCTGGCTCTAGCCAGTTTTTTCTTTTAACCTGGATGCTATTAGTTCAGATGCTTGCTTTGATAGAGCGAGGTCCCGTATCAGGTCCTTCAATTCTTCTTGGGAGAACTTCTGGGGTGTTGATTGTATTCCCTTTTATTCACTTTCACTGCTGTTGCTGCACTGATCCTCAATTTCTTCTACTTCTGACATGAAAACTGCTGGCAATGTGATACATACTGGTTCGTTATGTGGCACAGGTCTTCGTGCTG